ATGGTAATTTGCTTTATATAATTTTAAAAGAGGATCAAATAGCAATTTAGTAGAGAAAATAAATTATATTTACCATTAGCATTAAGATATTTAAAAATATATCGTTTTATTCTTACATATACATTTATAGATAGTTAGCTAAACAAATTTGATAGTAGATTAAAATTTAAAAAAAATAAAAAATTAATGATATATAATATTTATTCAGATTTAAAACATATAAATACATAGCTTAAGTTAATAAAAAATAAATATAATATTCATTTATATTATAGAAATAATTTTATTACATTAAAAATATATATAAATCTAGAAAAAATATTCCGCACGGAAACATTTATCGATGGATAAGTGGTTTTGTTTGGGCTTCCTTTGGGCCTCTTTAAGATTAAAAAGAAAAACCTTATAATCTGAGATGGGCCCACAGTATCTACTCCCAATCTATCCACGTGTTCTCCGGCACCGTGTCACACTTTATTCACTCAGCTTGCCGATATTCCTCTTGCGATTATAATCCTATCGTCCTCCGTCTGATCGGACGGCTGAATTGTTTATCTGTATTCTATCCAACGGTCAATATTCGAAGTCGTATTTCCCAGCAAACCTCTTCTCCGTTTGTCCAAAAAGAGATATCAAATATAAAACCGAAATATGAAATGTGTTGGTATGTTCTTCCTTTGATTTCCCCAATTTCTAGGGTTTCGAAATATGACTACCAAATTCGAATTTCTGCAACCTGGGATCCACGATAGGTTCAGATTCGCAACCTGTTGTAGTAATAGTCTATTGTATTCGCATACTTCGAGCTTCTTCGACGATCGGAGTAGGTTTCTTCGCCGGAACCCGAACCGGTTTGTCTCCAATTCAATCCCTCTTCCTCTGCTGAAGAAACCGGTTGCAGTACTGAGAAACCACGAAGGGTTTAATCTTTGGGATGGGTTTTCAAGGAAGAAGAGATGGGTGGTTGTGAAGTGTCAAGAAGACGATCAGAAAGCTAGCTCTAGTGAGACTAGTGACGGAGAAGGAGAGACGGATTCTCCGGCGAACTCGAGTTCGTCATCGAGGCGGAAGAGAGAGAAGGGAAAGAAAGATAGGGTTTGGTGGTCAAAGGGGAAGAAATGGCAGTGGCAGTCAATAATCCAGGCGCAGGGGATTGGAGTTTTGCTATTGCAATTGGGTGTTGTTATGTTCGTGATGCGGTTGCTCCGACCTGGGATACCTTTACCGGGATCGGAGCCTCGAATCCAGACGACTTTCGTGAGCGTACCGTACAGCGAGTTCTTGAGTAAAGTTAACAGTAACCAGGTGCAGAAAGTGGAAGTGGATGGGGTTCAAGTTTTGTTTAAGCTCAAAGATGATGGGAAATCGCAAGAGAGTGATATGAACAGGTTGTCTGAGTCGTCTGAATCGCTGCTAAGAACTGTGGCTCCGACGAAGAGGGTTGTGTACTCCACCACAAGGCCTGGTGACATCAAAACACCATATGAGAAGATGCTTGGGAACAATGTGGAATTCGGATCTCCAGATAAACGCTCTGGTGGCTTCTTCAGCTCTGGATTGGTAAGATCCACCGAGGCTTTTCATTTTCAAGTTGCATCATTTTTCACTCTTGGTAAGCATTTGATTCGAAAAAGTTTCTTTTTTTGTTTGTTTGTTTGTTGCAGATAGCTCTTTTCTACATAGCGGTGCTTGCATTGCTTATTCAACGATTCCCTCTTAACTTCTCCATGGTTTGTTGCATCTCCGCTTTACTTCAATGTGGTTGTTTAAGTTTTTTAAGTTTCCTAAAGAAGCTATGGGTGTACACAGAGCACAACCAACCAGCTTAGGACACGAAAGTCTGGTGGTTCTGATGGGGGAAAAGTCTCTGGTGGAGGTGAAACAATCACTTTTGCAGACGTTGCAGGTGTTGATGAAGCAAAGGAAGAGCTTGAAGAAATAGTGGTAGGTTTTTTTTAGTCCTTAAAGATGCTGCACATGCTGATTGATCATCAGATCGTATGTGATAGCTTTATTCTCGATTTAGTAATTGTCATCTTTTACACATGGATCAAACCGTTGCAGGAATTTCTCAGGAATCCTGATAAGTATGTCCGTCTAGGTGCACGTCCTCCTCGTGGTGTCCTATTGGTGAGTTAAATCATTTGATTTCACTTCGATAATTTTCTTATGTTTGGTTACAAGACCTGTCCTTTAAATTTCATGCCTTTGGTTTTCTTTTGTAGGTTGGTCTTCCTGGTACAGGGAAAACGCTTCTTGCAAAGGCTGTTGCTGGGGAAGCTGATGTTCCCTTCATAAGCTGCTCTGCAAGTGAGTTTGTAGAGCTGTATGTTGGTATGGGCGCCTCACGTGTAAGGGATCTTTTTGCCCGAGCCAAGAAAGAAGCTCCGTCCATTATATTTATTGATGAGGTTAGAATATGTAGTTTATATTAGGTTGCCTCCATTACTTCCTACCTCTGGACATCCTTAAACAATATTTTTTTCTGGTTCCCTTTCATGTTCCAGATAGATGCTGTGGCAAAAAGCCGTGATGGTAAATTCAGAATTGCCAGCAATGATGAAAGGGAGCAAACTTTGAATCAGCTGCTCACTGTAAGTCTGTAACCATGCACTTTTTTCTGCTTAAGTAGCATTCTTGATTATTCTATTGACCCGCTTACATGTTGGAAACTTGTTTGCAGGAGATGGATGGTTTTGACAGCAGCTCTGCGGTTATCGTTCTTGGAGCTACAAATCGTGCTGATGTCTTAGACCCTGCCCTGCGTCGTCCTGGGAGATTTGATCGTGTTGTTACGGTTGGTAGAATGGATTAGCTCTGCCTATTTGTAAGTGGTTAGGCTATTTTGAGAATCTTTCAAAGGCACTGATGCATTTTTCAGGTGGAAACGCCAGACAAAATTGGAAGAGAATCCATTTTGAAAGTGCACGCGACAAAGAAAGAGCTTCCTTTGGGAGATGACGTTAACCTTGGTAGTATTGCATCGATGACCACTGGTTTTACGGGGTACGCTTTTGTATATTATCGTTGCTTTAAAACTTCTTCAGTTGTAAGTTTTTGGCTGTATATCTCATAAATTCTTTTTTTCCCTATTTTGCAGGGCAGACCTTGCAAACTTGGTAAATGAGGCTGCCTTGCTAGCTGGAAGAAAGAGCAAGAGGACTGTTGATAAAATTGACTTCATTCAAGCCGTGGAGCGATCAATAGCGGTATCTTTCTATCCTCTCTATTCTACTAAGTACGTGAATCAGTTCGTCAAACGTTTTCGTTACAGTGCATCTTTTCTAGGGCATAGAGAAGAAAACCGCGAGATTAAAAGGCTGTGAGAAGGCAGTGGTTGCAAGACATGAAGCTGGGCATGCAGTGGTTGGTACTGCTGTTGCAAAACTTCTTACTGGACAACCACGCGTTGAGGTAAATAACAGAATCATCTTAGACATGTACGCTCATATATTCCGCTGTTTAGAGAGGCTGAATCTGCGTAGATGTGCTAGTGCAATGCGCTAATATATGTGCAAATGATTCAAGTTTTTTGCTCATCCGCTTTCTTGTTGTTAGAAATTAAGCATATTGCCAAGATCAGGAGGGGCATTGGGCTTTACATACATTCCTCCTACCAATGAAGACAGATATTTGCTCTTCATTGATGAGCTGCTTGGACGTTTGGTTACTCTTCTTGGAGGTCGTGCAGCTGAAGAAGTTGTTTACTCGGGGCGTGTATCAACAGGTGCATTTGACGATATCAGGCGGGCGACTGATATGGCATACAAGGCAGTAGCTGAATATGGCCTCAACCAGAAAATCGGACCCGTGTCTGTGGCTACACTTGCTGGTGGTGGGATTGACGATTCTGGAGGCTCACCATGGGGAAGGGATCAGGTAACGTAACTTCTGCATTGCACTTGCCTTGCATAGGTTTCTATGATATGTCCCTTGAAAGAATGCAAAACTTATCCTTCCATGTTAATTCACAGGGGAAACTAGTTGATCTTGTCCAAAGAGAAGTGACAAATTTGTTACAATCTGCCCTCGATGTTGCACTGTCTGTTGTACGCGCTAATCCAGATGTATTGGAGGGGCTTGGTGCACAACTGGAAGGTAAGTACATAAGTTTATTTGCTCAAACGAGAACAAGTTTTCGAAAAAAGTGTGGATCCCTAAAAGCTTGGAGCTTCCACGGCTTGGCTTGAGTTTGGTTGATGTGATAAGATAACTGGCTTACTCTGACGATGACAATATTTATGTTTTGGTGCAGAGAAAGAGAAAGTAGAAGGTGAAGATTTGCAGAAGTGGTTAAGTATGGTGGTAGCACCTGAAGAACTCGCAGTCTTTGTCAAAGGAAAGCAAGAGGCTTTGCTCCCGGCACAAGCGAGCTCCAGTTAACAGCGACAATGTTCTATCATCAGTTATAGCCATAAAGACACAGTGTCTAACACAGATCCTGTATCTCCAGGTCAGATCTGGCTTATCACCATTGCCTATGCATAGCATCGATAGTTCCAGCATGCGTGTAACACTATACACATCTAAAGAACCATTCTGGTGATAGCTTATAGAATTACTGGCCGCGTGTTGTAACATTTGGTATTCTTGCTGGATACATTCTCTTAAAAGAGAAACTGGCAAAAATTGTATCATTGATGTTAGATGTATAAAAAGCCATACACATAATAAAATATGTGCTTTGAAAATACTGTGGTTCCACTATTGAATTCTCACAAGTTCCTCTTGTATACGAATCATCCTTTGCTCTGTTCTTCAGATTCTACTTTGTTCTTAGTGTAAGCAACTATGCATAACTCATTTCTCCATCATTCTCAATTTTCTCTAAGTGGTGAGTGACTTTCTGATACTATGAGAGAGATGCATTCTTTTCAATAAGATAATGAAATGTCAAATAAGATGTAGAAAGAGCAGTTTGTATATAATCGAAATCTGAAGAATTTATAGAGAATAAAAAACAGAAGCATAAATAATGCAAATTACTATACATTTTTCTTTTACTTTTTGTTGAAGAGGCCACCTAAACCGCCAAATCCACCATCGTTCTTCTTCGGCGGTACAGGAACCGGAGCTGAGTTTTTACCGCCGCCGCGAACAGTTCCTCGGCTGCCGGTGGTGCCGCTGCTTTTGGTTCCGCCGCTTTTGGTGCCGCCGCTTTTGGTGCCGCTGCCTCTGGTGCCTTCTTTCTCCTCCACCTTCTTGAGAATTGGATCAGTCTCGTAGAACTGATCTTGCTTTGTCAAATAACCCAGCACAAAGTCGAGGGGATTCTTCTCCTCCTTGGCACCGCCTGAAGCTCCCTTTGCGGTTGTGGCGTAAACCCTTACGGTGGCCGGAGCAAACGACATAAGAAGCGAAGACACCATTGTTGTTATCTCCCCTTTCTTTCAGTTATTCTCTATCGGTACTGTGTGTCTTCGTGTGGCCATTTGTTACAAAGGGGGATTATAATGAGGTTGGGAGTGATCAGTGAATCTAGGCCGTTGGATCTTTTTTTGGCACAAGCTCTCCACAAGTGTCTTATCCTCTTTCTCCTCTCCAAATATCTCTAGATACGTTTTTTTCACATTTTGGTTTTTTTTATGATGGTTTACTCGTAAAAAGAAACTGTATGCAATAGTCAAATTCCCCCTATGATTATTTTTCCAAATGAAATGTATGAATGCTGAGGAGACACGTCTTGGTCTTGAAGCGGGTGATGTTGTCTATGTCAATCACTGTAGGTGTCAAACTCCGATCAAAAAGCCTTTTATTGGATTTAGGCCCATTTTAAAAAGCCTTTTCTTAGATGTAGGCCCAACTTCATCAATGAGTACCTGTGGTTTGTAGTTTCTATGTTCATTACAGTCTCGTTAAAATATAAAATTTACAAGACTAGTTCCATAAAAGTTTTGTAGAAATTTGCTCACTTGATAGTATTTTACCAATAAGCAATGCTTGCTCAAAGATTATTAGGGTTTGGATCTACAAATGTTCTTATTGGGACCAATGATTGAACTTGAATCTGCGACCGTATTGACTACTAAGTGATAAAAAAAAATGCAAAAGCAAAGAAGAAGAAAAAAAAAAAAAAAACAGAAGCAGAGAGGAGCAATGTTTCATCGGCCAGCATTTTATTCTCTCAAAAACACTACTGTTACGTTTGAAGATATGAGGCCGCCAATTGTTTACACATACAAGAGAAAGGCTAAGGAGGTGCGGGCCTAAGTGGAGTAATGGGCTTCGAGGATGGGGGCAGACATTCTAGAAGCAATCATTAGGAGAGCAGTGCAGACACGTGTAGCTGGGAGAATGGAAGAAGAGAATAAAGATGCTCGAGGTCGTTAGCAGCGAGATCTCTCGGGATCTGTTAAATAAGTATGACGTTTGTTACTTTACTTTTTATCACGGAGTTGATCAATTGGGAGGGGTGAGAGAAGAGAAGAGAGGTTCCTTTTGATTCTCTGTTCTTGTAAAACGTTTCCGGATCGATTCCAATAATAGTACTTGTTATTAATCCGTGTTTACATCTCGTTCGAACACTACACGTAACAAATTTGGTATCAGAGCGAGTCGATCGCCGGGAAACATGCCTCCGCGTGTTCAGAAAACCGACGAACGTACGGACATGGAGAAGCTATTCGATCAACTCCAGGTGATGACGGCGACTCTCGAGAAGGTGAACGTGTTAGAAGCAAAGGTGACGGCGATGGAAGAGCTCGCGAAGCTTCCCGCGCAGATCGATCACCTCCAGCGGAAGATCGAGTCAATGGACCGCGGAAAAGGGAAAGAGACGGAAACTTCAGAGGAAAGCCCGAACCCGTTGAGCGCCTCGTCGAGCGAGCCACGATCAGGCGAAGAACGAGTGGTCCCGGTAGAAGCGGGGACGCCGATCAGTCAATACAGAGAAGCGCTGACCATGAGAGACGACTCGTTGACCAAAAAGATGACGATTCCAGAGTTCGACGGAAGCAACGCCGAGGCTTGGATCCTTCGAGTGGAGCAGTATTTCGAGCTCAGTGACTTCACCGAGTCAGAAAAGCTGAAAGCTGTAAGGATGAGTTTTGTGGAAGAAGCTCTGTCGTGGTATCGATGGGCAAGAGAACGCGAGCCCTTCCAAAGCTGGGAGCAGATGAAAGTAAGGGTGCTGAGTCACCACTCGAAGGCGCACGATTCTTCCGCAGGAGCGCGCCTTCTGAAAATGAGACAAGAAGGGACTGTCCGTGAGTACTGTCGAGAGTTCATCGCCTTGGTAATGCTCCGGAGCTATCGGAACAAGTTCTCGAGATGGCGTTTATGAATGGGCTCGACTCTAATATCCGATTGCACGTGCGAATGCTCCGACCCCATAACTTGGACACGATGATGAGTTTGGCTCAGATGGTAGAGGATTGGGAGGAACACGGGAAACCCAGACCGTCACTGAGCTCAGGCGGCGGAGGAGAGGAGCTGTGGCCCACAGGGGAACGAGGCGGACCGATGGTAAACAGAGGGGGACAGAAAACGAGTCATGGGCCAAGTTATAAGCCCAGGCCCAACAATCAGAATATCACAAAATCATCGCCCCCAAAAGGGATCGGGAGCAATAACCTAAAAAGGCACGATCGCCTGAAGCCACCGTTCCGACGATTGACACCGGCAGAGATGGCGGAGCGGAGAGCTAAGGGGCTGTGCTTCAGGTGTGATGAGAAATATGGGTATAATCATCGGTGTGCTCAGGCAGAGCTGCGTGTTATGGTGGTTTACGACGATGGAAGAGAAGAGGAGTGGGTCGACGACTACGACGGCCACAAAGGGGAGGAAGCCGAGCTGGTGACGGAGCTCGCGGAGCTTTCCCTCAACTCCATGGCCGGAATCTCATCCCCAAAGACCATTAAGCTGATGGGGACCATTCAAGGGCTGTCCGTCGTGGTGTTGATAGACAGTGGGGCTTCGCACAATTTCCTGAGCGACTCCGTGGTTAAGCAGTTGGGAATACCAACAGAGATGACCGGGAGGTATGGCATCCTTACCGGCACAGGGATTACGGTGAAGGGAGCGGGTCTTTGCATGAACGTTGAGCTTGAAATGCAAGGGTATCAGGTGGTCACGAATTTCTTTCCACTGGGATTAGGGGGCGCAGACGTGATACTGGGGGTTCAGTGGTTAGAGACTCTCGGGGATACAAAAAAATAACTGGAAGCTTCAGACGATGAGTTTTCAGGAAGGGGGGAAGACCATTAAATTGCAGGGAGACCCGAGCATATACAGTTCCGCTGTGGCGCTCAAGGCCCTCTGGAAAGCTTGGGAGAGGCAAGGGGAAGGAATGGTGGTGGAGTTTTGTGGTCTTCAGGCAGCTACGGAGGCACCAATCAAGGTTTCGGCAGCGTTAGATGCAGTGCTCGACGAGTATCAAGGAGTCTTTGCGGAGCCTCAAGGCTTACCCCCGTCCCGTGGTAGGGAGCACAGTATCGTGCTTGCCACAGGAGCCGACCCGGTGAGTGTACGACCGTTTCGCTACCCTCAAATCCAGAAGGAGGAGATCGAGAAGCAAGTGAAAGCGATGCTCACGGCAGGAATCATCCAAGCAAGCGGCAGCCCATATTCGAGCCCTGTTCTACTGGTGAAGAAGAAAGACGGGAGTTGGCGTTTCTGCGTGGATTATAGGGCCTTAAACAAGTCCACGATCCCTCATAGCTACCCAATACCCATGGTCGACCAGTTGCTCGACGAGTTACACGGATCCAAGGTCTTCTCTAAGATGGACCTGCGTGCGGGGTATCATCAGATCTTGGTGAAGGCAGAGGATGTGCCGAAGACCGCTTTCAGGACTCACGATGGACATTATGAGTTCCTGGTGATGCCCTTCGGGCTCTCGAATGCACCCGCGACATTTCAGGCGCTGATGAATGACATCTTCCGACCCTTCTTACGCCGGTTCGTGTTGGTTTTTTTCGACGACATACTCGTGTATAGTCGATCCGGGGAAGAACACCAAGAGCACTTGCGATTGGTGTTGAAGGTTCTGGATGAGCAGAAACTCTATGCTAACAGAAAGAAATGCCAGTTCGGGAGTGAAAGGATTGAATACCTGGGTCACGTCATATCCGCTGAGGGAGTGGCTGCCGATGATGAGAAGATTAAAGCAATGGTGGATTGGCCACAGCCCCGAAATGTGAAGGAGCTCCGTGGGTTTCTCGGGCTGATAGGATATTACCGGAAATTTGTGAAGGGATATGGAGACATTGCTAAACCGTTGACCCTGCTGCTGAGGAAGGATCAATATAAATGGAACCAAGACGCAACTGAATCCTTTTCGCAGCTCAAGAAAGCAATGACCACGGTTCCTGTGTTGGCACTTCCGGACTTCAATGAGCTATTCGTGGTGGAGTCGGATGCCTCGGGTATAGGGCTTGGGGCTGTACTGATGCAAAACCAAAGGCCCCTCGCCTACTTCTGCCAAGGACTCTCGGAAAGGCAGAGGTTTAAGTCCGTGTACGAGCGTGAGTTGATGGCAGTCGTGCTCGCAATACAGAACTGGCGGCATTACCTACTTGGTAGGAAGTTCCTGGTTAGAAGAGCCTGAAGTTTCTACTGGAGCAAAGAGAGATCAATTTGGAGTATCAGAGGTGGCTCACCAAGATCCTGGGGTTCGACTTCGATATTCATTACAAGCCAGGCCTTGAAAACAAAGCTGCTGGTGCTCTCTCGCGCAAGAATCTAGCTCCCGAGTTGATGGCATTACCACTTCCAGCAGCAATGCAGTTAGAAGAGATATGTGGGGAAGTGGATAAGGATCCTGAGCTGCGTAAGTTGATCAGTGAGCTGCAACAGGACCCGACCACGCATCCAGAGTATTCACTGGTACAGGGACGTTTGCTGCGTCAAGGGAAGCTTGTCATACCACGCGGCTCGAGTCTGATCGGGTTAATTTTGGCTGAATGGCATGATGGGAAAATGGGAGGCCACGGGGGAATACTCAAAACACAGAAGAGAATCGGTGAGTTGTTCTTTTGGACAGGAATGATGACTGACATTAGGCGTTACGTGGCGGCCTGTTCAACATGTCAGCGACAGAAGTATTCAACTCTCGGTCCGAATGGCTTGCTGTAACCCCTACCGATCCCTACGAGCGTGTGGGAGGACATCTCGATGGACTTTGTGGAGGGGCTACCACGCTCGGAAGGGAACAACGCGGTGTTGGTGGTGGTTGACAGATTGACGAAGTATGCGCACTTCCTGGGACTTAAACACCCCTTCACAGCTACGGAGGTGGCACTAATCTTTGCTCAGGAGATCATTAAGCTGCACGGTTTCCCTAAGTCCATTGTCTCCGACAGGGACAAGGTGTTCACTAGTCACTTCTGGAGGGAACTCTTTCGGTTATCTGGCACAGCTTTATGTTTGA